TTTCCGGATTTTGTTCCGTAAGATTTTACACAGAGGCGAAGCTGCACTTTGCGAAAACAAGAGAACACGACAAAAAAGCAGCTGTATAAACTGAAATATAAAAAAATAGAAACCAGCCTCGAATTAGTAAGACTTTGCTAGGTATTGACTTCGAACCTGCAACCTCGAGAATTGGAGAGGCCACGAACGCTTAACAACCGGCAAACTCCAATCACAAGTAAAGCAGCTACATATGCTAACAAATTGTCAATGCTATGAATCAAAAGTGGCACCAAATAGAAATAGACACAATTTTGCAGTAATATTTTGGCATATACCAAACTGAAGGCGTTCACACTAATTTGCATGTAATAAAAATGGAAAGCATAAAACCACAATAAGTATAAATTATATATTGTGGCTTCATGAGATATATTAAGTTAGAAAAATTCCCAAATTGAATTTTTATCCAATTTATGTTGTTTGTTACAAATAACTTTTTTCGGTCCATTTGATGAATTTAAAATGTATCAACTGTGTTAACCTATATTTTTTCGAATGCCAAAGCACGTGCTATCAAAAAACCGTGAAGTTGGCCTGAAAGTGGCACCAATATGTGCCACTTAGGTTAAAAACAAAAAGAACAGTCATAGTATAACACTAACGCTCATTAAAGTTCGCTAGCGTAAATAAAGCTCTAAAATCTTTTCGCTACTCCTAATTTTGGAAAATTCTATTCAAAATTATCGACAGCGGAGAAATCACTAGTGTAAAACTTAATTTTTGTCCAAGATTTACATCAAATTCTTCTCGTGGAAGTTGTCTTGCAATTTTCGGTTCATATTGCGCAAAATAACTCAAATGAAGTATCCATGACAAGATATTAAGAAATTAGATGAAAACTTTTCAGTTTGAAGGAAACAAGATGAAAGTGAACAGCAAAAAAAGGAAATATTGCTTAAATGACAAAACAATTCATCCATACAGGTATTGTACACAGAGGCGATGCTGCCTTCACCAGCACAAACAAAAAATGGACAAAAAACCCTCAAAATTAGGGGAAAAATGCAAAACTATTCAAATTATCTTTTAAAAAACAATTAGTGGCATATGGTAGTCAAACTATCAACCTACAGATTTAGATCCTAATTTATTGCCAATTGAGCCATATGTTCTTTGTTTCTCTAAAACACCAGTCACCAATAATTCGAAGGCAGGGTCTCCCATTCCGTCACCCTTAGTCTGCTCTTGAGTACGGCGTCTACTCAACTAAGATTGAAATGTTGTGATCACATAAAACAGCTACTATCAATTTGAGTTTTCAAAAATTTCGCATATCATTTAAAAATTAATTTTATAGAAAAAAAACTTTTATGATCAATAAAAAACATATTTGAATAAAAAAATGTTTATTATTAATTCTGTAAGGAACAGGATACTTCTATCAACACATAAGTTCAATTTGATTGTGTTTTGCGCCAGGTAGGTTGCTGAGCAATCAACTTTCATTACAAGCATGCTCAAAATCAAGTTGAAACACAGAAGCGAAGCTGAGCTTCGCACCACTAGCGAATCAAAATTAAAAGCCGAAAATCGAAAGATGTGTCTCTAACAATAATACTTTTCAAACGAATAAATTCTGTTTAAGAAATCAAAAGCTAAAAATGAAATTTTTTTTGCAACTGTTCTAAAATCGATTACCTGCAACTTATGGAGGATCCGATACTCCATTAGTTTACTTCTCATCATCAATAGATGGAACCGATAAAAAAAAATGCAGGCCAAAACATCGAGATCCAAAAATAAAAACTCTTCAATGTACTGAAAAACTTTGCTATAAGTTTTGCACCCAAACAATCTGCATATCCCACAGAAGCAATTGGGCATAAGAAAAATTGTTCCCTTATTTGCTATAAACTTTGATAAAAGTTAAAGAAAAATACAACAAAATTAATGCAAAATTTTCAATCATTTTCCACTGAAAATAACTAGCAGAAAATCCGGAAAAACCTCGAAGCTAATGAAAAAAATTTATTACAACAATCTTTTTTAATATGCAGCTGATACGCAACGTTATGAGAACCATAAAGTCAATAAAAAACACGAGAATTCGTTCTTTTTCAAAAACTTCAGCCAGAAAAAAAACAACAAATTTTAGCTAAATAAACTAAAACCATAACGTACATTTTGAGTAGAAACTGAGATCTTTAAATAGGAGATCCGATCCTTTAAACAAAGTATTCACCGGAAAAAAGTCTGGTACCCGACTTCAGTCGCAAAATGGCTCAACTTATCAACATAGCGGGGCACATTAGGAGTTTTTCTCGGTTCTCCGTGCCAAAAAACTGCCCCCTAGAACTGGGTTTACTCAGTACTGTCAGAATCGGGCCTTCCTGCTCTTAGCAAACCCTGGGAAAACCACAGTTACTGTTTTACGGACGAGTCAAAACAATCAATCAATCTCCACAACCTTCGATTGCGGAGTACTGAAAATAAACGGCAACGAAGACACAAAATGGACGACCCCTCCTTTTACAACCACAAACAACAATAGTACCCGATTGCAATACCCTTGTTTTTTTGCGAAAATAATATTTCGTGTGTTTTAGTCTTATACTGAGACCAAGCTGAAAACAAGCTAAAAGGTCGTCATAAAAATTGATGCAAGAAAATACAGATATACGCCTTAAAAGAAAATCAACTGCAAAAGGTTGTTTATTTGAGTATAACCGGGAAATTATTCGGTCTAATTAGGTACAAACGAGCAAACGTTTGCTGAGCCCATTATTACTTTTCTACAAAATTTAGGACTTAGCCGCTACGAGGCAACTCCCAGCGCATGCTGTTTTGACTGAACATTTAATCATAGGTTTGGCAATATAATTTAAGCAAAAAAAGTTGCCAACAGTTAGTTGGAAAAGAGTCAATGAACGCAAAAAAATAGGTTGCCAACAGCTAGTTGGAAAAGAGCCAATGAAGACATCTATTTTAGAAAACTGGATCAATAAGCAAAATTTTAATCCGCAAGGAAAAATTTTTTATTCGCATTTTCTCATTCTTTGGAAAGAAGGCCAATACAAATCTGTACCAGGAAATATAAATTATATTTAAAAAAAACGGATATATAACCCACGAAAACAAGGAAAAATCCACGAAGCCGAATAAAAATCAACAATTTTTCAAGAATTTCACTTGAACAAAAATTGGTGCTTAAAAAACCCAATCTAATTTCTTCCTAATCTACATGACGCTAATTTCGTTTAAATTTTCATCAAAAAATTATGCCAGTAAGCTGCAATTGAAATTTACTCCTCCTACTTTATTGACTATTCTGTAAAAAAATTTATTCAAGGGAAAAAAATCTAGTCCCCGGTTGCCAAACCCTTGCTGATCGCAAAAGTAAACGCTTGCAATTGCAATGAAAGATGAGCTAAGCCGACAAAAACAGACATACATTCGGCAAAAAAAAATTTGAAGCCGTATTTTCGGAAAGGAAAAACATAACCAACAGTTGGAATTAATTCAATTAACGCACGGAAACTTCAAAAAAGACACGTTTTCTAAAAACATTTTATCTTTCGAAAAATAAAATAAAAAACATTGCTTTAAAACTCTTTGAACTTCAAGAAAACTTTATGAATGATACTTTGTTGACAAAAATAACTCGATTTGAGAAAATTGGATCAATACGTTTTTATTCTCCTTTCAACCAATTTAAATCCATTTTCGAAACTAGAGGTCGATAAAGTTTTTCGTGACCATTGATTAAATGCAATAAAACGTTTTAATGCACTCCAGAAGTTATAAGAGTATTTTAGGACCTTTCCTCCAAGAAGAAAAAGAAAGAAAATCATCACGAACTATAAAACAATCCGAACTACATTCTTCGACTGTTCAAAAAAAAAAGAATTCGATTAAAACAGTAAAAATCGTTATTTAATCCGTAGCTGAACACAAGTACTTCTTCAATATTATAACTTGCAGAAAACTATACTTTTACACAGAGGCGAAGTTGCACTTCGCATACACAAGCAAAAATATAACCGACAACGCTACTGGAAAAAACTGAATGAGTAAAACTTTGAGTCTACAAAATTTCTTAAGTGACGCACGCCAATTACGAGTCTACATAATTGCTAAGTGACGCCAGCCAATTATGACGCATTAGCAGTACCAGTCAATTTGAAAAGAATTTTACCAACTTACATGTCTCAATTTATAAAGAGGACGCATTTTAACTAGCATACGAAAAAGTTCATTAAAAAATCCGACCCTGCCCAGGTTCGAAACCTCTTATTTTGCTGCTGGTTTCCTACCCTACATCTATGCTACATAACCATGATACCTTGAAGTTAAGTACTATTTGTAAAATAATAGTCTGTGTTAATATCCATAGCATTGGCTGTACTTAATAGCTGGATCAAAATGATTCATTCAAAATGAACCCATTTTGTCGCAACAAAATTTGCGACTTAGGTTGGGAAAAAAAGAAAGTTCATACTATGACACAAGCTATGCTTATGTACACACAGATCCAAATCTACCCTTTGCAAACGCAAGCGAACAAACGCCAAGAATTAATTTAAAGGGTGTTTTAAAAAAGTTGAAAAATAAATTACCTCTGCAGGAATTATTCCTCAAGAATTAATTTAAAGGGTGTTTTAAAAAAGTTGAAAAATAAATTACCTCTACAGGAATTATTCCTCGGTCGTCGGACATTACGGTTCGCTGCCCTTCGCAATTGTGCCACTAACGGTTATAGAAACCAAAGACAAGCGGCAAAAGTAAGCCTAATTGTGCGCAAATTATGCATTTCAAAAATCTCTTACATGAGACAAATATTTTTATTTGGTTCATCTGATAAATAAGTATCAACTGTAATAACTTATCACTAATCAAATTATACGGTATTACACTACCAATGCTGCCTCCTGCCTTAACATTGCCCCCAATTAGCCCTTTCAAATTGGCAAAAGTGCCACCAAAAGCGACTTAGGTTGACTACACGCCACTTGTGAAAAGAAGTTGAATTGTTATAAATTGTTTAAACTTACATAATTTTAACCTTTTCTAAAGTCATTACGTTAACTAATCAGAAGTCACTTTCGTTTTTGCATCAGTCTACTCTGCCACGTTTTCCTCTTCGTCTTCAAATTGTGTCGTTGTCTCCAGATACTTTTACTTACAGCTTCTTTCACGCTGGGAGGAGTAATGAAAGAGCCCCTCTCTCGGAGGTATTTGACAATATAGGTCGTGAGAGTGACACTACAGAGATATCGCAACGGAGTGAGTAGTTTGTAGAGGGCCAGGGCCTGAAAACAAAAGTACCAATATGTGAAAAGAAATCTAGTGGTGCTGGGGGGGGGGGGGGGGCATATAACTATACCCCATCTCTGTTGCCTTCTCAAAAAAAAGCAGGTAAAACAATAAGTTACTTAAATTTTCTCATTCTGAAAAATGAGACAATTAAAAGAACCAATTCTTTAAGCTAGATGAGCTACCACAAAAACTGAAATCTCTCCGCAAAAGCTGATCGAGGGTTTTCTCGAGGGGCGGCTTTTTATAAATAATGCTCGAACATTTTAACGACTTTTTTTTTAGGTCGACCAGTTGACAGCGGATGTCGTTTAATGCCACCAAATGGGGACAAATTTTCGAAAAAAAACTTGGATCTTGCGGTTGACAGAGGGCGTCGTTAAATAGTCACCAGGGCGACCCTTAAGGTAATGAGGCGGTCGAATCCCTGCTTGAATCCCTGGATATCGTCTGTGGTATCCTCACGGGGTACCACAGACGATAGAGATGCAGACATCGTGACCACCCGGCTCTGGAGTACCGTCCTCAAAACGCCACAGGGAAGCTCTGCTCCGCCTACCAAGCTGAGATCGCAGCTCTCCTCCTGTCATTTGATTTAGACCAGACTCGACGTGGCCCATGGGACCATAGTCAGAATCCTCACGGATTCCAAATCCTCTATGGTGAAACTGGCCACCGGTCCGGACAAACAACACGTCAACTGTGGAATTTTAAGTTAAGATCGAAAAAACGACTTTTATTTGGGTTCCTATGCACTGCGGCATAGCTAGGAAAAAGAGAGCAGACCAGCCGGCCAATGACACAGCGACTATTGCTCAGACGAACAGACCAATTAGCCAGGACACCACTACGGTTGTCTTTGATGCCCAGCCTTTTCAGAATCGCCCATAGGGCAAGTTTAGATACCCTAAGATATGCTTTCTCCAAGTCCAACAGTCCGAGTCTTTCTTCTGGGTCACTGCTTTGGCGCGCTAGTCTTAGATCTTTTCTTTGGTTGCGAATGTAATGCTTATCTCCTTTAATGTGTATCAGTATTTGTGTTGCGTCGGCCGTAGATCTATTAGGACGCAAACTCGATTGGTTTTCGTCTAGGATGCGCATGTTCTCGGTCCAGTTCCTCATGCGTTTCCCGAGGACTCTAGGGAAGATTCTGCTGATTATTGGAAGGAGGTTCACACCTCGATAGTTGCCGGACATTTGCAGTCATCCTTTTTGATGAATGGCACGATTTGCCCTTTGTGTATTGACTGTTCCTAGCTATCAGCTGACTACGAACAGCTCCTGGACCATGTCTATGACATTTAATTTGATTTCTGCACACGCCTTCTTTATGTATCGTATGCGGACTTTATCGGTTCCACGGGAGGAATCTTTGACTACTTCAATTGCCCGTTGAAATTCCAGGGAGTCCGGTCATTGGTTTAGATTCTCGGCCACTGACATATAATGGGGGTGACTCTTTCTATCAGGGGTGTTTTGCGCTGCTTGCATATTTCTGCAGGATCGTTCTCGAACCTCGAAGTAGATATATTGGAGAAATGTTCATTAAATTGCTCTGCTTTGATTGCCGTACCTTCGCAGAGTTTGCTGGTGCGGGCACCTAATTGTCTCAAAAGGTTGTACATAAATCCGAAACTTCCAGTTTTCGCGGCGTCCTCGCATTCCTGCATCTTGATACCACCAGTTTTGTTCGAGCGATCTGATCTTCCGTTTCATTGTTTTCCTCGCTTTTTCAAGTTTTTTTAAACATCATGAGGGCGATGTTATTTCCCACTTATCTTGCGCTGTTTCTTGCACTTATCCATATATTATGTCTCCTTTTAGGGCTTCTAGTTCTTCTTCTGCTCCTATGATTCACGGGTTTTCCACACGCTTCTCGTGTGATCCGCACGTGTGTTTTGCTGCTTTGACATGATTTGTGTTTGTTCATCGCAAGACCCTCCTATACCCACCCCACGTGATGCTCTGTTTCATTTGCTGTTGGGGGAGGTTACTGGTCCTTGTCTCCAATTGTAAAAAAATTTGTTTCAATTTTTAGGACTTCTATTTTGATGTCGGGATTCGCTAGTTCATTAACTGCTCTCATGCTTCTCATACGTCTGTGTGTTTGAGAGGTCCTCATTATAAAGCCATCTATTTCGTACCACCTCCCCAGTCATTTGTATAACCAAGTTCCTTTGTCTCTGTGTCCTGAGTGCACCTATGTTGGGTCCGAGAGGACCCTCGCCGGTATAGTATTTGAGAGTTTGTGTCGGCTACTCTAGCCCAAATGCTCGTTTCCAGGAGATTGTGAAATGAATCCTTGCGTTCAGCATTGCATTCCTGTTCCGGAAGTCTTGTGTGACCTTTGACGCACTAGGAAACCTGTGCGCAGCCCACTTGCGCCGTCTGGAAGGCGCCACACTTGGCAAGCGGGGCGTTCACCTCCTCATATCTGACCGTGTCTCGTCATCATCACAATTGGTATCACATTCATTAGGTTCAATCACACTGTTCGTTCACTATTACTAATTTTCTGTTTCGTCTATTGGTTTCGTTTTAGTACAAGCTTGTTTACACATTTAAGACATCTAAGAATCACAGTTGATAAGAGTCTCCCGGAAATATTTGGAAGTTAAACGGTTTAGAAGTTTCGTCTGTTCTGTCTACTTCATTGGCGAGCTTGACTGTACCAAGAAACCTTACGAATCAAATTCATCGCCCACTACGGCATGGTCATAACGCATTTAAAAGCCCGTTTTATTTTCTGGACGGTTATTTTTTGTTGTGGAACCACTTCTAAACTAGTATTTATAAACCAATTATATTATTGATAAAACTATCTATATAAAATATTACTAACTAACCAATCATATTCCATCTCGAACCTTGACACTTACAAGTAGTTTCAGCACCAGAACAATTTGAATAAAATTTTGAATACAGTTGTTCTCCTTGTGGATAAACTCCAAGAACTAACTCGCGAAAACCAGTATACACTAGATCTATTGAGACTAGCAGATATAAGAGTAAGATTAAGATCGGTATTAGACTAAGAAGTTGCACGAATCTATCCGGCCGAAAATAAGATAGCGTGACGAACAGACAGTGTAGCTTATCTGAAATTATTCTATGAGTACAGGCCAAAGGTCATAACTCAGTTGAGCTCCCGCCATGCAATCTTTTCCTACCCATCAAATTTGAGACCAAACTGTTTTGGGACCAAACTTATCTCTTCAGCCTTGTCCACGAGAAGATATTCGCATGCTTCGGACTCTTCAAAATCCAAAGGAAAACCTACGTCACCTTATGGAACAACATCTTTTCTTGCGAGTTTTTTTTTTACCATCCTTTCTTGCATACCAAACCAATTTTAAGCGTGCAGTGCGCGCGATTGATCCTACGAGATAACGCTGGTTTTTTCATCAAATGTGCAAAACTTAATGAGTTTTTCTCACCTGAATGAAGATGCCAGTCTTTTTATATTCGTTTACTTTATCCAAGTGCAGAAAATCCTTGGCGTTTTGGGGCAGTTGTTCCAGTAGGGGTGTTATGTCCAGGCCCACATAAACAGCCAAATAGCAAGTGGAAAAGTAGACACCGGTTCCGAAGACATAATGCAGTGGAATGAAAACTTTACCATAGTGTGATATAAAAAACTTCATTCGTTCGACAATTCCCATTTTAGTAAGTTCAGCCCCATTTTCAGCTGCTTTTTTGTCCGAATATACTTTTTTGAATGTCTTAAAAGACCTCGACGCTGCAGCTCTTTTCATCCATTTGTCGCGGAATTTGTTGTATTTGATGTAAGTTTTGGGCATTTTTGCCATTGCTTTTCGTTTTGTCTCCGCTCCACCTTTCGAGCTCATTTGTCTCATAAATGGCGTCAGTAGATTACATCGCACGGAAAGAACATCCAAAGGATAGTAAAGCAAAGATTGATGAGTTGAATTGATGCTACTGAAGCTCGGTTTCTGAACCTGAGAAAATCTGGACAAAGCAGCTAGTTTTGTCTCCCGAACAGTGCTAAAGCGTTGCATGCCCCGAACTTGTGGGTTAGTTCCGATTCCAAAAAACTTAAATGCAAAAATAGTTTGGTAATTCATCTTGGTTGCATTAAGAGAGACCCATCGTGATATAATATTCTGGTCGCTGTGAAGAGACGCTCTTGTACAGGTGCTTTCTACACTTAAAACATATTTCAGCCTTCCACCCAATAGCTGTCTCCAGTTGCTAATAACCATTAGCCTACATCTAAAAATAGTCAAAAACAAACAGGGGCTTATGGTTGCGTGTATTACAATTGTTTTGAAAAATCGATCTACGTGTTCGCAGTATGCAGTACTGTTTCGGATCGGGCAATACGGTTGTTTTTCATTCCGTGGTGGGGGGCAGCGTTCAAAGTTATCAGATGTTCCACATACGCCGAACAGTTCTTATTCAAATTATGCCAAAAACAACTGTATAGTTAAAACCCATTAGAAACAGCTTTGATATCCATTCATCAACCGTTCAAAAAGTTGTAAAACATCGTTTTTTGATTATTAAATTTCAAAATTTTACTCTAGTACTAAAACTAATTTAGAAAAAACTCCTTGTAATTAACTTTGTTAGTTTTAATAATTACTTTCATCAGTTACTTCTTCAGTTTTGCTTGCTCTGGCTTATATTTTGAATCTGAGGCTTATAAAGCTGAACAGATTCCTGAACAATTAGCTATATTTGGGGAATCCGTAACAAAATTAATGTGCCGACAAAGTTTACGTTGCGCGTATCTACAGAAAATTTGTAAATGGAATCCACTTACATTTTGGAAGATGTTAAAATATTTGTCTCTGGATTCCAGTGACTCACAGACTCCAAATGGAGCGCCTATCCAGTGCACAGTTTGGCCTCGTAATGAAACAAAAAAATCACTAAGACCTATAGAGTTTTCACTACGTTCATTACTCTAAAATTTGATGGATTTGAACTAGAGTTTTGAATTAGCCTAATTGTTGTGATAAACTTATTAAATAGTTTCAGAGAAGTGAAAATGGAATCACACGATGAAACCGCGACTGATCCACCCACTCTTAGATTCCAAGACCAGACGCCAATTGCTAAGCCCGACAACAAAAGGACATGTGCTGCTCTCAGCCCACCAGACGAAGAACCCGTATTAGAAAAACTAGAAGCAACCATTGAAAAGGCAATTGAAAACAAAATTCCAGATATTGTGAAAATGTTGACTGAGGATCTAAAAGGGACAATTCGACAAGTGATCAATGAGCTTCTGACTGCAACAAAAAATGAAATTCTTGGGGAAGTACGAAAAGAACCAAAAAATAGTGAAACGGCTACTCTCGTGAAAGCCATGTGCGAAGACGAACAGCTAGAGAATTACAATAGGCGAGATAATTTGAAGATATTGGGATTTCCAGAGCAAGTACAAAGCGATTCGAATGGTAACAGCATTTTTGAAAATTATGACAAGACCATCAACAATGTTATCCAATTGGCAACAAACATTGGGGCAAATGCTACTCCTGCTTATATTTCAATAGCGCATTGGTTGCCAACTCGGACAAACAACACAAACCGACCAATTATTGTACGTTTCTCGAGAAGGGTGGCGAAAATAAATATTCTGCGAAAAAAGAAGGCACTCAAAGACAATGAACAGTGCCCAAATTCACGTGTTTGAAGATCTGACTAATACAATGGTTAATTTTATGAAATTCATGAAACAGGATAACCGTATTAATGGAGTTTGGACCAGGGACGGGAATCTGCTCTATCAGTGGAAGAACAGCGAAAGAGTTGAAAAAACAACTAGCCTTTATGAAGGAGTGGCGCAGTTGGGATATACTGTAAAAGATGTAATGAATTGCTTTGTAAATAAAAGTGATATTTTTAAGGGAGAGTCTGGCTCCATTGGAACCTGAAAACTCCAAGTGCGATGTAATTACTAATTTTACTGTGTTGTTGTGTAATACTAGATCGATTAAAAAACATAGTGAAGAACTGGAAGCACTAGTTAAATGTCTCGAGTCTCCAAAAATCATTTTTACTACAGAATCATGGCTAAGTGAGGAAGATAATAAAGAGCTTTTTACAATGAAAAATTACACGTCCTTTGCTTGTAATAGACAAATGAATAGAGGTGGTGGGTCGATGATCCAAATTAGAGATAATATTAGTTACATCCAAGAGATAAAATGTAGCTTACCAGAAACTAAGGCAGTATTAGTGAAATATGCGAATGTTAGAATCATTTTGGTTGTTACCTATTTAAAGCCACGTTCCGATAAAGGATTATTCATCGAAAAATTAGATGAGTTCCTTGAAGAATTGTCAAACCACAATGGCCCTATAATTTTTGGCGGTGATTTTAATATTGATATCTTACAACAAAGTAACCTTGTAAATAACTATCAAAATACAATAGCAGCAAATGGCTTCATTCTCACAAGTGATACCCCAACTCGAATAACAGCTGAATGAAACACCTGTATCGACCAATTTTTTGTAAAAAATATTCCGGAATATGAAGTAAAAATTTTGGAAGAGCATACGTTTACTGATCATTGCCCAATTTTGCTAAAATTCAGAATATCTCGTAAACAGGATACAACGAAAATTTTTCGGGATTTAAAATTCCTTGACGATGAAGTTTAAATCCTTAGTTTCCAAAATTCCCTTAAAGTAAAATTAGAAGGAGCACAACTTTTAGTTGATGAAAATATCAATTCCTCGTACGAATCTTTCCAAAATTGCTTTAACAAAACGATTGATGAATATGCACCTATACGTATATGCACTGCAAAAGATTGCTCTTCGGCAGGGTGGGTCAGCAAAGAAATAAAAAAGGCAATTAGTTCCAGGAACAGAATGTATAAGGAATGGAAATGTAACAAAACAAAAATAAGACCAAGCGCGAAAAATTCCTCGCCGAGAGGAGTAAAGTAGAAAAATTATTTAAGCTAAGCAAAAGAAATTACTATTACAATAGGTTCAATAATTGCATTGGAGACTCGAGACAGGTTTTTAAAGTATTAAATGAAATAATAGGAAAATGTCCAAGGAGTGGAAACGTTCCTCTTCTTAAAAATGGAGATTTAGAAATAGATAATAATCAAGAGATCGCCAACCACTTAAATGATCACTTCGCTAACATTGCGTCAAAACTTCTGGCACCATTACCATGTGATAGCTGAGAGTCTCATGAGACTTATTCAAAATATAATGCACCACAATCAATGTTCTTACACAAAGTAACAATGTTCGAAGTCCTGGAAATAATAGAGAATCTAAAAGCGAAACAGTCTACGGGAGTAGATGAAATAAGCAATATTATCATTAAGAAAGTTTCTCATGTAATTGCGCCATATTTAACTTATTTGATAAACCTCTCATTCGAATCCGGCCAATATCCCGAACAACTCAAGAGCGCCAAAATCCAGCCCTTCTATAAAGAAGGTAGTAAAACAGATGAAAATAACTACAGGCCCATTTCCTTACTAAATTGTTGCAGTAAAATCTTTGAAAAATTAATGCATATTCGCCTTTACAACTATTTGAACAAGTTCAATCTTTTATATGAAAAACAATTTGGATTTAGACAGAAATACAATACTATCGATGCATTAGTTGAGTTAACAGAAAAACTTAGGTACGGTGGTAAGTCAATGAAATTCAGTATGTTCCTAGATCTTAAGAAAGCCTTTGATACATTGGATCATGAACTACTTTTACACAAATTAGAAAACTACGGAATAAGAGGATTGTGTAATGATTGGTTTCGAAATTATCTCTGCAATCGTAGGCAATGTGTGTTCACAAACTCCGTTTACTCTGATTGGACGAATGTTTCGCATGGAGTTCCGCAAGGTTCCGTGATCGGTCCGTTATTGTTCTTAATATATATTAATGATATGCCCAAATGCGTAAAAGACACAACCGTTTACCTATTTGCAGATGATACCAATGTCACTTGTGAAAACGAATCTTTTGAGGTCTTCATCAACGACATACAAAATATATGTTACTGGCTAAATAGAAAAAAGCTAACACTTAATGGAGACAAATCAATATTACTAAGTTTCCAAAATAAAGCAAGTGCCTCCAGTCTTCAGTTGTGCATTAACAATTATATGGTTACTTCTAAAGGCGTATTGCAAATATCTAGGTGTTTTTGTGGATTCAAAACTACTGTCATTTTGTACGCATGTTGAAAATGTAAAAGCGAAACTAGGAAGGCATTGTGGAGTTATTGCTCAAATGAGAAAATATGTACCGATAGATGTGCTAAAAAAATATTATTGTTACAACATCAAACCCATTATACAATATGGATTACTTGTATATGGGGGAACGAGCTTCTCGAATCTCAATCCAATTTTCCTTTTGCAGAAAAAAATAATTCGAATGATTTACAAGGTAAGGAAATTTGATAGTATTAGGGAAAGGTTTAGAGAACACAAAATTTTAACAGTTCATGAGCTGTATGTGTACGATCTTCTCAAATTTTGCTTAAGATCAATAAACAAGTTGAATTCAACCGCATTTCTTAATGATTTTTTCACTCTGAAAACAAAATGGGCTTATTTTACCAGAAAATCTGTAGGTATTCAAGCTCCTTGCTGTAAGACAAAAACGAAAAGACAATCGATATGGTTAAGAGGATGCAAACTGTTGAAGATATTTAGAGATAATAACTTGCTCCCGGAAAAAGTTTTAAACTTAAAAAAAGGGGAACTAAATAATTTGGCACATCTGCTAAGAGATACGTTTATACATGAAAATTACGTACTTGTTAGGTATATTTTTGCTTTATGATTATAAATATGACTGTGTTCAGGTGCGGGGTTAGGCGGCTCGAACTGTATTCTTTCAGAAGACCAGGCGTTGTCTCCGGGCAACATAGTTTAATTCTATTCAAGTCTGAGTATGGGTATACAGTTTTGTGTTGTTTTGCTTTGCACCTAAAGGACATAGTCATGTTTCAAGAAACTTTGAAAAATGGTCAAGAAATTTTGAAAAATGGTCAAAAAGAGGGCGTTACTCTGCCCAAATTTTCAGAGAATTTAAGGGCTTTTTTTTTCGCGAGGTGGATGAGGCGTTAATTAATTTCTAAAAAAACTTATAATTTTTTCTTTTTGCTATTTGGTTTCATAAATATTATATTTATCACTTATTTATAACTCATTGATGTGCTTTTCTTTTGTATAATCTGTGGGGTACGCTCCTAGTGGGTTTGAAGAAAACCCTTTGCGTATCCTCACTTAACAATCCTGGGTAAACTGTTGATTCATTTATTATGTGATAAAAAATATTCTTTTTGTTTAATGTAATAGTGTATCTGATTGTTAAGTGAAATTAATTCTTCTTCTTCTTCTAGTTTTTTTCAGCCATTTTCGTTTTGACCTCGGTAGTTTTAAAGTATGATCTTTTCCTGGTCTGATCTTTTTCTCGCAGAGATTCGTCCGATTTCGTCATATCGCGATTTCAACCGTGTTTGGTGGATCCAACGATTGCATTCCAAACATTTAAATATGTTCTATCATTTCCAATAAAATAATAAAATAAATCATAAAAACAGAGCGTTATGCGAGGTCTAATTAGCAAAAAAGGCGGCCGCAAGACTTGATTTTCACAACTTATAGATGGACGATTATAGTTTCTTGGACAAAGGAAATGTTTTGTTAATCTAAATAGGTAAAACTTTTCATGCTGAGGGAACCTAATGATAGAAAAGCTTTAACACAGAAGCGCACCACTTGCGATAAATAACTGCATACCTAAGTTCGAACGATAATTTGGCATACCTAAGTTCGAACGATAATTTGGCAACAAATAAATTATGTTGAAACTGTCGGCTGAAAACTCGGAAAGTTTTTGCAATTCTTATAGAACTCAATTACCAAAATTATAGAGGATTCGGGTTACACAAATTCCATTCATTTCCTTCTGATAACTATTAGATGGAAAGTATACGAAAAATGTGAAGTGTCGATCCGAAATTTCAAAATGCAC